CAAACTTTACTTATTTAAAAAAAAAAAAAAAAAGACAAATTATCGCCAAATAATCCCTACTAACTCCTTCAAAATGTTAACAGTAACTTTTGTTTGAAAGTTAGGGAGATGAAAATACATTTCCAGGCCGGGCGCGGTGGCTCAAGCCTGTAATCCCAGCACTTTGGGAGGCCGAGACGGGCGGATCACGAGGTCAGGAGATCGAGACCATCCTGGCTAACACGGTGAAACCCCGTCTCTACTAAAAAAATACAAAAAAAAAAAACTAGCCGGGCGAGGTAGCGGGCGCCTGTAGTCCCAGCTACTCGGGAGGCTGAGGCAGGAGAATGGCGTGAACCCGGGAGGCGGAGCTTGCAGTGAGCGGAGATCGCGCCACTGCACTCCAGCCTGGGCGACAGAGCGAGACTCCGTTTCAAAAAAAAAAAAAAAAAAAAAAAAAGAAAATACATTTCCAAATTTTTCCAAAGATATAGCTAAATGACAAGATAAAAACTTCACTATGGGCCAGATGCGGTGGCTCACGCCTGTAATCCTAGCACTTTGGGAGGCCGAGGCAGGCAGATCACTTGAGGCCAGCAGTTTGAGACCAGCCTGGAAAACACGGTGAAACCCTGTTTCTACTAAAAATACAAAAATTAGCCTGGCATGATGGCGCATGTTTGTAATCCCAGCTACTTGGGACATTAAGGCAAAAGCATCGTTTGAACCCAGGAGTTAGAGGGTGCAGCCAGCCGGCATCACACCACTGCACTCCAGCCTGAATGACTCTTGTCTCCAAAAAAAAAAAAAACACAAAAAAAACCCTAACGATTGTACCTTAAGGTTTTTGCTTTTGGTTACTTTAAACAAAAAATTATATGTTTATAGACAGATCACAGACTATATAACAGTAACTAATTTCACAAAAAAAACCTTTTAATTATACTCTCATATAACCTCTCTTAAATTTACAATACACATTATTTCCTTTAATAAATCCTAAAGGATAAACTCTCTCTTTATACACGTTATGTTAAAGTTTTTTTTTTTTTTTTTTTTTTTTTCTTAAGACAGGGTCTCAATCGGTCTCCCACGCTGCAGTGCAGTGACACAATCTCAGCTCACTGCAACCTCCACCTCCTGGGTTCAAGTGATTCTCCTGCCCTAGTAGCTGAGATTACAGGCACTCATCACTGTGCCCAGCTAATTTTTATATCTGTAGTAGAGACAGGGTTTCACCATGTTGGCCAGGCTGGTCTCAAAACCTGACCTCAGGTGATCTGCCTGTCTCAGCCTCCCAAAGTGCTGAGATTACAGGCGTGAGCCACCGCGCCCGGCCAGCAAGTCTTATTTTAACTAATAAGGTTTTGGGGAGTAAAAACTCTCACAATCCCCGATGTCTCATTTTTTATAGTATACCTGAAAGTCCTTTCATACATTACTTCCGAACGAGCATTTTTCAATGAAATCCAAGATGCTAAGAAATCTAGTAATTACTGAAAAATGCTGTGATGCCAGTAAAGCCTAATCCTAAAGAAAACAAACACTTTACAAGTTCCACATTTGTTTAACTTGCTTTGTAAAATACAAGTTACAAATCGTAGCATATAGGTTATTATTAGTAAAGAGTATCATTAAATCTTCAAATAAAAAAATAAGAAATTTGTAGTTCAATGAATATAGTAAGTAACCTGCTGTAACCTTAAGTTTTTTACATGCTTAGAGCTTAGATAATCCAACTCACTTGCATTTGATTTTTGCTAATGGTCTTGAACTTATATACATTAATTCTTTTTTTTTTTTTTTTTAAAAAGAGACGGGTCTCACTCTATCAACCCAGGCGAGAGTGTGGTGGCACAACCACAGCTCACTGTTAACCTCAAACTCCTGGGCTCAAGCAATTATCCCACATCGGCCTCCCAAGGAACTGGGATTACAGGCACTAGGACTACATGCAGGCATCACCGCACCCAGCCAATTAAAAAATTTTTTTTTTTTTTTTTAGTAGAGACAGGGTCTTGCTATGTTGCCAAGGCTAGTCTCAAACTCCTGGCTTCAAAGGACCCTCCCATCTCAACCTCCCAAGCAACCAGGATTACAGAGATGAAGCAGTGCCTGGCTGCTTTTTTTTTTTTTTTTTTTTCTTAAGACAGGGTCTCAATCGGTCTCCCACGCTGCAGTGCAGTGACACAATCTCAGCTCACTGCAACCTCCACCTCCTGGGTTCAAGTGATTCTCCTGCCCTAGTAGCTGAGATTACAGGCACTCATCACTGTGCCCAGCTAATTTTTATATCTGTAGTAGAGACAGGGTTTCACCATGTTGGCCAGGCTGGTCTCAAAACCTGACCTCAGGTGATCTGCCTGTCTCAGCCTCCCAAAGTGCTGAGATTACAGGCGTGAGCCACCGAACCCACCTGAATTCATTTTTGGATAAAAATCCGAAGTAGTTTATAATGCCTGCAATAAAAATCATACATATACACTTTTAACAAGTTAGTGCCAAACACATCATTAGCAATAAAAGAAAAAATAAAACACCAAAAATCAAATTATGACTAAATATCTCAGTATTAAATAAGGAAAAATCACCATTTTACATTTTTTAAAGATAGTATTAATATCAAAGATTTACTCTCAATTCCAGAATGGAGATACATCTCATATTATTATTCCCATATAATATAAAGGAATATGGCAGCCAGGTCTGTTAGAGATGGCAGAGCCAGGAATGGAATTGCAGTATTAGCTGGAAGACTCCAGAAGACAACAAGCAGCTAAAAAGAAAATCAGAAAGTGGGGCCTAACTTAGCAAGTGATTAGATCAGAAAAACATCAAGTTTCTTGCAAATGAAGCTAAAGAAACATCAGGAAAGATGCAAATTTTTAAAAACGAAAAGTTAACAAGTACCTGGAGTTCACACAGGCAGAAAAATGAAAAAAACAAAGTGAAGAAAAAATAGGTACAGAAAAAGTAAGTGGCTAAAACACCACTAGCTCTTAAGAGTCAAAGTATTTAAGAATAGCCTCAAGGCCAGGATCACATCTTGACTCCCAGGAGTATTACACAAATGTTGGCACACAGTAAATGCCCCACGTTTGCTGAATGAATAAGCAACAGAATGTTCCTGGGATTACTTCACCTGTAAAAGAATTGGCTGAGCAAGGTTGGCTGAAAATGATTGAAAGCATTTATAAAGTAAGTTTCTTTGAATGAAAAACTGACTTCTTGCATTTGGGAATATACTGGATCACAGTCACTAAAATAAGAGCCAACCTGGAAGATGAGGTATCATATTTTGTTACAATCACCAAATTTTTCAAAATAAAGTACAGTATAGTACAACCAATACCTCCTCTCCAAGAGCTAACATTTGAAATCAAATCTGCTATAGAAGAGTGGTTGGTAGACAGTACCATCTCGGGTTTTATATAACACTATGGAAAACATACCCACAAAACTGGTAACTCTAAAAGTTTAATTTTGCACCCCAATAACTTGTAACACTTTAATAATCAAATACACCTGCTACTACTGTTACAGACAAAAACGTGGTGTATCTGCATAAATAGCACTAAGCTATAACTACATTCAATAGAGAACTACTTTCTTCTCATCCAAATTATTCAAACCCAGTGCAACCTTCTGACCAGTATTAATTTTCTCAAACCAGTAATTATGTAGAGGAAGCCAATGTTTCTCAATATATGATCACAATGAATAAAGTTGATTGCTATCATAGGAGGACAAAAGGGACCAGAAGATGCAAGGTATTTTTTTAAAGTAAGCAAAATATTGACGAATTAGTTGCCAATAGGGGCAAAAAGTCACATAATACTTTACTCAGTTTTCTTGGAAGCTTTTAATATTGTAAATCTACTTAAGATATATTATCTACATGAGCAACATGTTACAGTAGGAAAGATTATAGATGTCTTTACTACAATTGCTTTATTCCTTAATGCATGCTTTTGACATGAAATGTAATTCTAGCAAATTTAGGGCAAATTAACTCTGAAAATAGTTACTGAGAATTGGTTTTGTTTACTTATTCTCAGCCTCCTACAACAAAGAGCTTGAGGCAAACTTATAATTGAAGACAGATGACTGTGCAAAAGAAATCAGACTAACTTTTAAAAAGAATATTTCAATGAACCAGGTATCAAAATCACATCAGCGAAACTGGAGAATACTGAAAAAATGTTTACAACAAAAAGCAAGAATGTATCCTCTAAGTAATGAATAATTTTTTAAATCTAGGAACTATCCTGAAAAAACATACTGAGTTTTTAAATTCATAATTTATCATCGTAATTAGAAAACAGATTTGAACACCTTAAAAAGTAACAAACTGAAGCAACAATAAGGATCTCGAAATAAACTTAAATCTTTGTAAGTCCAAAGTTCCTTTCTTGGAAAAACGTCCTGCATTTTCCCATCCTTAACAAAGCATGTTTTAAACTATATTCATAAATGCATTCCCTTGTTACCAGACACTAAAGTCCACTTTTTTTTGTAATGGAGTCTCACTCTGTCACCCAGGCTGGAGTGCAGTGGCACCACCTCAGGCTCACTGCAACCTCCACCAATCAGGTTCAAGTGATTCCCCTGCCTCAGCCTCCTGAGCAGCTGGGACTATAGGCGCCTGCCACCACCACCATGCCCAACTAACTTTTGTTTCTAATAAGAGACAGGTTTTCACCTGTTGGCCAGGCTGGTCTCGAACTCCTGACCTCAAGTAATCTGCCTACCTTGGCCTCCCAAGTGCTGAGATTACAGGCGTGAGCCACTGCACCCCGGCCTTAGAGTCCATTTTTTAGATGCTCACATCAGCATCTTATTTCTACAGTAACTTGTTCGGAGTAAAAAAAAAAAAAAAAATTGATAGGATTAAAATATTTTAATGACATAACCGAAGAGTAACTTTTTCAAGCTAGAAATACTCTGCCGCCTATTGTTTTATATAGAGCTATTCTATTGTTAAACATATATGTCAAAGTTTCAACAAGAAAGATACTCACCACCATCCCTCTCTCTAACTCTGTGAGTATGAACATTTTTGGCCTTACTGTGACCTGTGCTGTCACTGTATTTGTTTTCAGGACTATCAGATCTCCGCAACATTTTATTTGGTGGTGAAGGATCTGCGGCGTCTCGCATCTTTTCATGTCTGTGATCACCGCTACTGGGGTGACTCTTCGATGAATACTTAAGTGCCTGTAAAACATCACCCCCCCAAAAAAAGAGAGAAAGAATTGAAACCTTAAACTCCCTAAACTAATTTAAACATAAATTTTGGTGTATTATCACCAAATTTTATGAACTTATAAAATTAAAATTTCCACTTTCTGCTTTACTCTTTAAAGTTTCTCAGACAAAAAACCTAATGCTTAAGTGTTACAATAAGACTCCTGCTACAAATGATAATACTAAACATTTAAAAAGAAAAAAAAACCACTCCATTATCTTATAAATAAATCAAACCACCTTGGCACACTGATTCTGAAAAAAAAGAAAACAAAACAAATATGGCTAGGAATATTTAAAACCATTTTTTGACAGTCAAAAGAAAGCTAGAAATTCAGTACTACTATAATCAGTTTCTGCTCTACAGCTGATATACACAAGCACATGTATAAATAAGCACATGCATATTTTTGCAAACCTACCAAAAAAAAAAAATCCACACACTGGTTTCTCCAATTCTTTGATTCAAATAAGGCATTTCAGACCTAACTTCCTTACTCTCACAGGTGTGGGAAACAATTTTAAGGTATAAAAATATTGACCAAAATAAACTAATGTAAGTACTATTTCTAACCAAGCATAATGCACTCAAAATAATCGTTTAGCTTTATTCTAACACATATCTTAGGACAACCATGATGTACTAGTCTGTTGCAATGTGTAATTAGCTATGCTTTGGAGGACAGATTCACTAAGGTTTAATTTTTGACATATCCATTGTTTTACACATCAGAGGACGGTGTTTTCAAATTCAGCTGTATAATACAACTATCAGGTAGAAACCTGTTCTCTGGGCCTTTAAGATGTAGAAAGTGTTTCTGTAGTTGTTTTACGGTTAACAATCATTTATGAGGTTTGCCTCCTGAAAACTGGGGCCACTTTTAGCATAATCCTTAGAACTTTACACGCAACGACTGCAGTAACAAAAAGGAACCCACCTACCTAGAACCACCTACATCAGAATGATTATCCAAGTACCCAAAAACCTCAATTCTTACAGAAACAAAAGTACCATCTTTTACTTATAACGCAATTAAGTATACCAAAAATATTAAAAAGGAAAAGAGGACAGTACTCTATAACCGACTTAAAAGTTTTAAGTCATTTAGCTATTTATCCCAAGTCCTTCACTTAATTTTAGTATCTTTACATTAACTTTCAGTTCCCCCCACACAATAAATAAATAAATAAGCCTCGGAAATCACCTATCATCTCATCCCATCGATTCCTTCACCCGCAAATAATCCAGTCAGGTCTTTCTGGCTGCAAATGATTCTTTTTTCCTAAATCAGCGAACTCCCTCCAGTCACCTGTCAAAATAAGTCACTAAACCTTGCTGGAGAGCACTAATGGAACCAAACCTCGAATTTTAAGGGGACCCGAGGTGCTAGTTTCGGATGTGTTGCACCGAAGGGCCTGTATCGACTTCTGAGGCCTGCGCTCGAGTAGCAGTCCCTCCCTTCCCCCTTCGGCCCCTTCCAATCCCTCCACCCCGGCCTCGGCTGGTACCTGGTAAGGCTGCGAGTCCCCCCTCCGGTCGTGACAGCTGAAAAACAGGAAGACAGCGACATAAGACACGGCGGGGGTGGGGGGGCCGGGGAAGAAGAAAACGGGTCCCCCGCCGCCCCTCCCCGCGGGAGACCTACCCAGCGCCCCGGCGCCGAGCCCCGCGCGCACACGGCGCAAACCCGGAGCCTCCGGGAGGGCCGGGGAGGGCGAAACGCCGCAAAGCCGGGCCCCCACTCCCCACCACACTCCGTTCCCGCCCGCCCGTCCGCGCGGCCGCTCCTCCTCCCCAACCCAATCCGGATCAGGGTTAACAACAAAAATGGCGGCCGGGCCAGCTCCAGATAAGGAGGAACAGCCCCCCCGCCGCCGCCCCCCGCCGCCGCCCGGACCGAAACGAAAAGACAATTTACCCATCACTGAGTCTCTGCTGTTTCCTCGCATACATTACCATCAATGCCCGGCCTGTGAGTGTGTGTCGGGGAGGGGGGAGAGCGGCCGCAAGAGGCGGGCGGGCGCGCAGGCGGCGGCGGCGGCGGGCGGCGGGCAGCCCCGGCACCTGGGCCCGGCGCGCCCTAGGCGACTCTCAGCACCTCCCAGTTACTGGCGCCGGCGCTCCCGGGCCATCTCCCTCCGTCGACACCACGCTCACTCTCAGCCGGGGCAGCGGCGCCAACTACACGGCGGCAGCGCGAACCGGGGGGAGGGGGGCAAGACGACGCGCCCGGCTCAGCCCCGCGGAGAGCGACTGTCTCCTCCGCCTTCTCCTCCTCCTGCTCCGCCGCCTCCTTCCCTCCTCCCCCCGCCGCCGCCGCCGCCGCTGCTGCCGCCGCCTGGTCCTTCTCTTCCTCCTCCTCCCGCCGCCGCCGCCGCCGCTGGTGCCGCCGCTGCCGCTCCACCAACTACATCCGGGCAACTCGGACGCTGCCGCCCTCGGGAAACCTCGGCAGTTTCCGCCGCGCCCCTCCTCTCCTACCCTCGGCCTTCCTCCCCGCCCCGCGCGGGTCCGGAACGCCGCCCTCTGCAAACCTCGGCTGGCTCCGGCCTCTGTCCTCCTCTGAGGCCTGGCTCTCCTCCTCGCGACCCGTCAGCGCTTTCTTTCTTTTCCTCACTCGCGAGTCCGGCCACCGCCGTTCCTCTTTAGGGATAGTCTCGCTCGGGCGCCTGCTCGAGGCTGATCCCAGGGGCTCCGGGCTGCGCGGGGAGGGAGCCGCCTTCCGGAAGAGGACGGTGGGGCGCGAGGGAAGCCATCGCGGACTAAATAAGGGAGGCTGCGGCGGCTGCGCGTGCGCCCAGAGGCGCCGCGGGAGGGGGTGTTCTCGTGCGAGCTCTCCGGCCGCTGCCCCCGCCCCTGCGCTCTCGGGCGGGGAGGTCGGAAACCCCTTGGCGAGACCACGGGCGGACGCTTCCCGAAGAGCTGCCTGGGCTGCAGCCGCGGAAGCCTCGCTCTAGGAAGCTGGGGAGCGTGCTGCGGCGCCCTCTGGCCGCTGCTGGAAGCCGGAACCGAGCCCGAGCCGCTGGCCCTCACCGGACGCTGCGCGCGCCACTGGCCCTCCGCGGGGCAGGGGCTGCTTTGAGCTCGCCGGGCGCCCTTTGGACGTAAGTCTCACCCTGGCCCCGAGGCGGGAAGGCGTGCGTGCTGTCCCGGCCGGAAACGGCTAAAAGGAAGGGTTGAGGGGTTCTGTGCCCAAGGCGGAAAGCCGTGCGCCAGGGCGGCCCTCAGCGGAGATGCCTGCACGGATCCGGGAGCGCCGCTCGGGGCAGGGAATGAAAGGGGCGCTTGAGACTGGAGATTTAGGGAGATGAGTTCCTTGGAAACAGCGCTGAACCGTTTCTCTGTCCCACCCTACCCCCCGCTTTTTTTTTTTGAGGCAGGCTCTCGCGCTGTGGTCCAGGCTGAGCGCAGTGACGCGATCACGGCACATTGCAGCCTCGACCTCGGGGGCTCAAGGGATCCTGCCACCTCAGCCTTCTGAGTAGCTGGGACCACGGGGATGCACCACCACGCCCGGCTAATTTTTTTTGCAAAGTGTTTACGGAGATAGCGTCTCGCTGTGTTACCCAGGCTGGTCTCAAACCCTTGTCCTGAAGCGATCCTCACGCCTCGGCCTCCCAAAGTGCTGGGATTACAGGCGTGAGCCACAGCGCTCGGCTTTTTACCCCTTTCTAACGTTTTCCATGCCCATCGGTGCCCTGCCCCACCCTCTCTTTATCTCTCACTTTTTGCTCTGTTTTTTCCTCGCTGAAGTCCGTTGGCTAAAGAAAATTCATGTGCAAGTTCTGGATGTGAATAAAGTCCTGAGGTGTGTTAAGTGAAACTGCTACAAATTTGATTTTATGTACTGCTGCAGGCACATTGAGAGGAGAAACGTCAAGTATACCAAACAACCGTTAGTTGAGAGTGGTGGTATTCGGGTGATTGGTTGACTTTTTTTTTGCACTAAACTCTTTGTAAGGCAACATTAGTTTAATGAAAAGAATTGTGATAAACATAAACGTGATTAACACAGAAGAGGCAAATACTAAACAAGTCAGAAGAAACAAGACCCTCTCCAAATAAACAGTAATAAAAAGTAACTGATTTATTTGGTATCCAAGAAGTTACAATACTGCTAGACCTAATAGAATGAAGAGATGGAATGATGTAGGGAGAAAGGCTCTGAAATCACAACTGGTTGGAAAAAACTTTAATTGTATAATCTTATTTGTCACATCCACCTGCCAGATGTAAAGCTTATTGCTGTTTGTGGAGATGTGCAGGCCAATAAAAAGCCTATTTAATGAAAGTATCAGCAACTAAAAAAAAAAAAAAAAAAAATTGCCAGTGACTGAAATGATGAAAACAAAAAAATTCGGTAGCATCTTAACATGCAATTTCTGACACATTTGTAGTGAATCTATTGAAGACAAACATCAGGAGTACAACAAATAACAAATATTACATAGAAACTTTTTGAAAACTGGTAGCAAAATTACTACTAATTTGTTTGATAACTAGATGTCTGCTGAAATTGATATAAACCATTTGCTCAAAAGTAGCCAGGGATGGTGATGCCTGCCTGTATTCCTGGCTACTCCAGAGGCTGAGGCTGAACAATCGCTTTAGTGCAGGAGTTCGAGACTGCAGTGAGTCATGATCACACCAGTGCACTCGGCCTGGACGACAGAGGGAGACCCTGTCTTAAAAAATAAATAGCCTGGATGTGGTGGCTCATGCCTGTAATCCCAGCACCTTGGGAGGCCGAGTCGAGTGGATCATTTTGAGGTCTGGAGTTTGAGACTACCCTGGCCAACCCAGTGAAACCCCATCTCTACTGAAAATATAAAAGTTAGCCATGTGTGGTGGTGTGCGCCTGTAATCCCAGTTATTCAGGAGGCTGAGGCAGGAGAATCGCTTGAGCCTAGGAGGCGGAGGTTGTGGTGAACCAAGATCTCGCCACTGCACTCCAGTCTAGGTGACAGAGTAAGACTCTGTCTTTAAATAAAATCACATTACCAAAAGTCTGATCTGCTCTCCTTTACAGAAATACTTTATCTTCACTTCTACTCTTGAACCCACAGACTTCATTCCCACTCTCCTGAACCTGTTCAAGATCATCTGTGGCATCCATGTTTTCAAGCCTGATTTTTATTTCTCAGTCTTCATCTCACTTGTCAGCAGTATTTGACACAGCTGATAACTTTCTTCTCCCTAAAGTTCCTTATCTTACCTACCAGGATTTCATTTTCTTTCTTGCTTCTCTTCCTTCCCAAATGGCTGTTCCTTAGACTTCTTACCGGTTTCTCCTTCTTTTCCAGCCTCTAAATGCTGGAGTGGCCCAAGATTCAAATGCCACAACCTGCACTCCTCTGTTCTCTCTCCCTAGGCAATCTCATTCAAATCTCTGGCTGGATGAAACCCACATTTGAATCTCCAGTCCGCACCTTTCCTCTGAACACAAGGCCAACACTTAAGTGCCTACTGTATAGCACTGCTTGAGTTTCTAACAGGCATCACCAACTTAATGTATTCAAAACCAAACTCTTAATCTCCCCCACCCCAAACAAGTCCTGCTGAGATCTTCCCAATCTCTTGAAGTGACAGCTCCATTCTTCGAGTGAAGGCTAAAAACTTTGGAATCATCTTTGTTTCTTTTATATCTCACATTGACTCTATCAACAAATTTTGCCAACATTATCTTCAAAATGTATCCACAATCTGATCTCTCTAACCCACCTCCACCACATTCACTCTGGTCCAAGCCACCATCATTACATCTGGACCGTGGCAAAGACTTTCTGACTGATCTTCCCCTTCTCTGCCTGCTTCCACATTGTTTGCTATCTCATACAGTGCAGTAATCCCTTAAAAAGTCAGAGAGTATCATTCCAATCTTAAAAAAAAGAATAAAAGCCAGAGTTCTAGCCATGATCCACTAGGCCATATGTAAACTGCCTGTTACCTCTGGCCTCTTATCACTGACTGCTTGCTCTTTTTTTTTTTGAGACTGATTCTCACTCTGTTGCCAGGCTGGAGTGCAGTGGCATGATCTTGGCTCACTGCAACCTCTGCCTCCCAGGTTCAAGCGATTATCCTGCCGCAGCCTCCTGAGTAGCTGGGACTACAGGCGCTTGCCACCACACCCAGCTAATTTTTGTATTTTTAGTAGAGACAGGGTTTCACCATGTTGGCCAGGATGGTCTCCATCTCTTGACCTCGTGATCTACCCACCTCAGCCTCCCAAAATGCTGGGATTTACAGGCGTGAGCCAGCAAGCCCAGCCCTACTTTCTCCTTTTCCCACCATTCTACCCTCCCTCCCTGTTTCTCCAATATACCAAGGATGCCTCTGCCTCAGGACCTTTGCACTGCTGTCCCTTTGCCTGGAATCCTCTTCCCCCTTAGTACCTGCTTGGCTCACACCCTCACTTCTTCAGGTCTTTGCTTAAGTCTTGTCTTGTTTAATTCAGAACTCTACGTGATGGCACCTTACCACCATGTTGCTCCCTTAACCCTGATCTATTTTTCTTAAACCATTTGCAATATATTTTGTTTATTCGTTGTTTCCCACTAGAATGAATGCTTCATGTGACGTACCACAAATATTTGTTGAATGAAAGGATATTTGCCTGCAGAAACATATACAACAAAGATAGCAAAATTGAATTCTCAAGAGGAAAAAGCATAGGTTCTATTTCTGTTTGCTTTGCAAAAGAATAAAAGAATTATAAATCCAGTCCTGTTCTCATAAATAAGATGGAGAATAAAGCTATATTATTCCTAATACAGGCAAAATATTGTAATAGATAATATTTAAAAATACACATGAATTTGCATGTATAGCAAATCTTAAACCAGATTATTTACACTGTTATCTAATGATAGCAATGAGTTTGCAAATGAGTGAAAGTTTGCAAATGAGTAAAAGACCCATATTTCAACTGTAGATTGAACACATACCAACCAATAGAGGAGAGAAACTGTCAACTCATAGGTTATATGTAGGTTGAGCAAGATTTTAACGTGATTCTGTTGAAGGAAGAACCGAAGAGTGAAATCCTCAAGCCTCTAGTTGTGAAAGGGACTTTTTTTTTGTTTTGAGACAGAGTCTGACTCTGTCACCAGGCTGGAGTGCAGTGGCGTGATCTCGGCTCACTGTAACCTCCGCCTCCCAGGTTCAAGCGATTCTCCTGCCTCAGCCTCCTAGGTAGCTGGGACTACGGGCACATGCCACCACACCCAGCTAAGTTTTGTATTTTTAGTAGATGGGATTTCACCATGTTGGCCAGGATGGTCTCGATGTCCTGACCTCGTGATCCATCCACCTCAGCCTCCCAAAGTGCTGGGATTACAGGCATGAACCACCGCGCCCGGCCAAAAGGGACTTTTAAAAGCTTTGCTGCAATTTCTAAAACATCATAAAATAAGGATGTATTCCCTAAAATTTTCACGTACTTCATTTCTATCTCTTTTTTCTCTGTCCTTGCCTTCCTCACAAACTCAGCCTACTATAGTGATTAAAAGCATGGATTTTAGAATCAGTATGACATTACGTAGAGCTCTGGCTACATTATTGACTAGCAACGTCACCTTGGGCAAATTACTAGTCTTGAGGATTATCCTGCTTTGTCTCTAAACTTGGCTTAATAGGACGTAGTGCTCTTTGTGAAAAGTAATCGAAATTGTGTAAATAATTTAGCAGTACCTGGCACATACATGTTTTACTAATGGTGGTTATTCATTTTTTTAAAATAGTATTGAAGTTCTGTGTGTCAAGTCTTAGGAACACAGTGTTAAGCAAAGTCACTTGGATTTTGCTCTTATGGAGTTTATATTTTAATTAAGTATAATACATAACTAAAAGGAGATACTTTGGGGTCTCAGATTTGTGATATGAAGCTTTCATTCAATTATGAGGAAAAATAAGAAATTGCAACAGAAATTACTGTCTAGGAAAGGGGAGTAAAAACCTCCAGGACGTCACCATATCAACATATGGTGTACCCTTCTAGGCAGGGATGATGTAAATGATGCAATCAACACATCTTGGGAGAATTACTTACTGACTCAAGATTGGCCATTTTTTAAAGTTCTGCCAGGTAATAGATACTAAATTTCAGCTAATATTGAGAAGCATACCCTAAACCCTTTACCTGTGTCTGGTGAAACTTCAGCCTGAGTTAACCCAACCATTCATTTTCTGAGCACCACTGAGCAGTTGCACGCTGCAGGAGATTATAAAATAATAGAATATACTGATGCCACTTCAGCCCCATCATCACCAAAATCAAATGACATAGTAATTTAGAAAGTAATAAGCGCTACAGAGAATAGTGGGGTAAGATAAAGTGTTGGATGGAGGAGTAATGTTTTCAAGTAGAGTGGTTATTGAGCACGTGGCATTTGAGCAAAGACTTGAAAGTGATGAGGTAGCAAGCTGTACAGGTATCTGGAAAGGAATGTTTCTGGGAAAGGGAACAGCAAGAGCAAAGGTCCTGAGGAAAGACTGTGCCTAATGTGTTCAGAAATAATAAGGAAAGCTCTGTGGTTGAAGGGTAGTGACTGAGAGGGAAAATATTAGGAAATGAGGTGAGGTTAAAGGAGTGGGTGGAGGAACAGACTGTGAAGGATCTTATAGGCCATTATAAGAATACTGGCTTTTATTCTGAGTTAATTGGGAAGCCATTGAAGAGTTATGAGCAGAAAATGACACGGCTACTATATTGAAAATAGTGTATATTGCAAGGAAAGAAGCAGGGAAACTAGTTAGGATGCTACTGCATTGCCTGAGTGCCTAAGGTTACTGTTTCAAAGCAGAAAGTAAGCTTATCTAAGGCCATTTTCTTTACTGTCCTTTCTTGCCAACCCCCCCGCCCCCCGCTTTCAGTTCACCTTATATTATCAGTTATCCCTTTGAATATTCAAACTCTTTTTCATCTGGATTATTTCCACTGGTCTTTAAACATATCTAAATCCTACCACTAAAAACCCTTTCTTGACCCTATACTCTTAACTGCTCACTTCAGCCGAACATCCGCTAAGTCTTATTTGTGGTACCTCACGTGTTTCATTCTTTATTCTCGTACTTACATTTTAAGTCACTATAGTTTGATATCTGCCCCCATAATATTAGCAAAATAGATTTCCCCAAGGCAGTGGTTCTTCAAGAGGCAGTGCTGAGTCTCCAGGGGGCATTTGGAAATGCATGGCAGTATTTTTTTTATTATCACTGCTATATTTTCTGTATGACTTAAGGGTGAAGGGTGCTACCGATATTTAGTTACCAGAGGTCAAAGATGCTAAACATGTAGCAATGCGTATGACAGTCCTTTATATTTAAGACTTGTCCTGCTCAAAGTATCAATGTTGTCTCATTTAGAAATAGTGTTAAGGTCACAAACAACTTCTTTGTACCTATGTTTAACAAACTTTTTTTTCATTCTTTTTCTTACTCGATCTCAGAATATTTGACCTTGATAGCAACTCTCTTTGCATCGCCCTTTTCTCTCGCCTTCTGTAGCACAACACATTTTGTATTTTCTTATTCCTTATCTGACTGCTTCTCTCATTTTTCACAGGCTCATCCTCATCTACTTCACTACCAAATGTTGAAGTTCTTCAAGAATCAGTCCTTTGGAGGTGATGTCATCGAAAATGATGAGTAGGAAACTCCAAGAACGCATTTCTGCACAAAACCAGTGAATACATTGGCAAAAAATGTCAGAATCAATTTTATATAAATTCTGGAAATTAGTCAAAGGTTTATAGTAACCAAGGAAACATCTTTTTAAAAAGATGGCTGAGGCTGGTTGCGGTGGCTCATGCCTGTAATCCCAGCACTTTGGGAAGCCAAAGCGAGCGGTTCATTTGAGGTCAGGAGTTTGAGACCAGCAAAAAAATTAGCTGGATGTGGATGCGGGCACCTGTAATCCCAGATACTCGGAAGGCTGAGGCAGGAGAATCACTTGAACTTAGGAGGTGGAGGTTGCAGTGAGCCAAGATTGTGTCACTGCACTCTAGCCTGGGTGAGAGAGCGAGACTCTTGTCTCAAAAAAAAAAAAAGAAAAGAAAAAAGATGTCTGAATCCTGAATCTCAGGAGCGTTTTCTATCATTTAAACTTACCCTGGTGCCACCTCCCTGTCCAGCTTTGAAAACAACGACCTGCATTTCTGATATCTGTTCAACGACCTGCGTTTCTGATATCAGTTCCTGGTGCCAAAGGGAGCAGAATGGACCTTGTTTTCTTTTTTTCTTTCTTTTTTTTTTTTGAGATGGAGTTTTGCTCATGTTGCCTAGTCTGAAGAGCAGTGGCACAGTCTCGGCTCACTGCAACCTCCGCATCCAGGCTTCAAGGAATTCTCCTGCCTCAGCCTCTCAAGTAGCTGGGATGACAAACCACGCCTGGCCAATTTTTGTATTTTTAGTTGAAACGGGGTTTTGCCATGTTGACCAGGCTGGTCTCGAACTCCTGACCTCAGGTGATCCGCCTACCTCAGCCTCCAGAAGTGCTGGGATTACAGGCGTGAGCCATCATGCCTGGCCATGGACCTTGTTTTAAAAGAATTATGGAGACTTATTTTAGTTCACCTAACTTGGAAATCTCCTAAGGAAGAAAGGTGATTACAGGCATTTGTCAAAAATTTGTAAAGGCAAGTTTATTATCCTCTGCCATCTGGGGCAAAGAATAATAGCTAAGACAAACAATAGCCACACCAAAAAGCCTGGGAGGAAAAGCTAGAAAGTAAGATATTTTGGAGAATAAAGGCTTTTAAAACATCCACATATACCTAAGAACCCAAAAGGCCACATGCACACCCAGGGTGAGCAAATACTCAGAAAAGACTTGAGAGAGCCTTAAACTCTCACCTCTGGCTAACCATCAGGCTCTACTCAAAATAGGAAGTGAAAACTAAGGTGAATTTGTAAATTGCTTAGCTGAATGTTGAAGGCGTGCCCCAACACTTACACAGAGCCCACTGGTAAAGACTGAGAGTGTTTTCTTTTTGTCTTGGTTTCAGGCATTTAAGGAAATCTGTTTCTCTGTTGAATCACTAGCTGCAAATTAAGCTAATAGAACGGAAGCTCTACTGGTTACACACAGCAACGAATACAGACTTTGTAAAGTTCAGAAAAGTTACCAAACAATAGTAACCATAACAAGTACCAACAACAAACTATGGGGAGGGAGGAGAATCTGATTTCCAGAGTTACCACATTATAATACTATTCAGAATGTCACATTTTTAGCAAAGATTACAAGGCAAGGAAAAACCAAAAAAGTATGGCCCATACACAGGGAAAAAAGAAATTAATAGAAACTACCCCTGAAGAAGCACAGACTTTGGATGTACAAAACAAAGACTTTTCATCAACTCTTAGATATGCTAGAAGAGCTAAAGGAAACCGTGGACAGAGAACAAAAAAATTAGGAAAGCAATGTCTCATCAAATATCAAGAGATTGAAATTGTAGAAAGGAACCAAATAGAAATTCTGGAATTGAAAAGTATTATAACTAAAACTAAAAGTCCACTATTAGCAGCAGACTGGAGAAGTCAGAAGAAAGAATTAACAGGCTTCAAGATAGTTCAATTAAGATTATGCAGTCTGAGGAGCAGAAAGGAAAAAGAGTGAAGAAAAATGAACAGAGCATAAAAGACCTCTGGGACTCTATCAGGCATACCAGTATATGCATAATGGGAGTCCCAGAAGGAGAAGAGAGAGAGAAAGGAACATAAATAATATTTGAAGAAATAATGGTAGAAAATGTCCCAGATTTGATGAAATACATGAATCTAGATATTCAAGAGGCTCAAAGAACCCTAAATAGGGTAAACTCAAAAAGACCCACAGCAAGACACATCATAATTAAACTGTCAATAGTCAATGACAAAGAATCCTGCAAGCAGCAAGAGAGAAGCAATTCCTCACGTACAAAGGATTCTCAATAAGATTAATAGCTGACTCCTCATTAGAAACCACAGAGGCCAGGAGGCAGTGGGATAACATATTCAAAGTGCTGAAAGAAAAAACTGTCAAGAATTCTGTATTCAGCAAAACTATCCTTCAGAAGTGAAGGAGAAATTAAGACATTCACAGATAAGCAAAACCCGAGAGAGTATGTCACTAGTAGTCCTGCCCTGCAAGAAATACTAAACGGATCCTTCAGCCTGAAGTGAAGACACTAGACAGTAATTCAGATGCACATGAATAAATTAAAACCACTGATAAAGATTTAAATACATAGGTAGATATAAATGAAAAGAATTATATCTGTGACAATGAAAGCACAATGCATAAAGGTGATTCATGATGATGAGGAAAGGATGAAGTATAGGAGCAAAAATTTTGTGTACTGTTGAAACTAAGTTGGTATTTATTTGAAATAAATTGTTATAAATGAGTTAATGGTAATCCCTAGAGCAACTACTAAGAAAATAACTAAAAATTTTGAAAAGGGAATAAAAATGGTATGCTAGAAAATACCTAATACAAAAAAGACATAAGGGAGGAATTGAGGAAGACACAGGGAAAACAAATAGCTAGTGGCCATGACCTTCCTTGTTATAATTGCATTAAGTGTGAATGCTTTAAACTCCATTTAGCAGATGGAGAGATTGGGAGAATGGAGTCTTTTAAATCTTCTAACTATATCATGTTTACAAAAGACTCACTTTAGAGCTAAAGAAATAAGTATGTTGAAAGTGAGAGGGTGGCACCTTAGTTTTCTTTTTTTGTGTGAGATGGAGTTGTTTTTTGTGTGTGTGTTTGTGTGAGATGGAGTTTCACTCTTTTTGCCCAGGCTGGAGTACAATGGCACGATCTTGGCTCACCACGACCTCTGCCTCCTGGGTTCAAGCAATTCTCCTGCCTCCTGAGTAGCTGGGATTACAGGCATGTGCCACCACACCTGGCTAATTTTGTATTTTTTAGTAGAGATGGGGTTTCTCCATGTTGGCCAGGCTGGTGTGTTGAACTCCCAACCTCAGGTGATCCACCACCTTGGCCTCCCAAAGTGCTGGAATTACAGGCGTGAACCACCATGCCCAGCCGGTACCTTAGTTTTCTTGTGCTGCCATACCAGAATACCTGAGACTGGGTAGTTTATATAGAGTAGAAATTTATTTTCTCACAGTTTTGGAGTCTGAGAAATGCAAAATTATGACATTGGCAGGTTTGGTTGTCTGCTAAGAGCTGCTTTCTGCTTCCAAGATGACACCTTATTGCTCCATCCTCTATAGAGAAGGAATGTTGTGTTGTTTTTGTTTTTGGAGACGGAGTCTTGCTCTGTCCAGCTGGAGTGCAGTGGCACGATCTTGACTCAACTACAACCTCCACCTCCCGGGTTCAAGCAATTTCAGCCTCTCGAGTAGCTGAGACTACAGACGCACACCACCACACGTGGCTGATTTTTTGTATTTTAGTAGAGATGAGGTTTCACTGTGTTGCCTAGGCTGGTCTTGAACTCCTGAGCTCAGGCGATCCACCCGCCTTGGCCTCCTAAAGTGTTAGAATTACAGGCATGAGCCACCGTGCCTAGCCTTGGGGGAGGAATGTTATGTCCTCAACATGGCAGAAGGTAAAAGGGCAAAAAAGGAATGAAATTCCTCATCAGGGCACTTAATCTCATTCATGAGGGGAGGAGCCCTCAAGACTTAACCACCTCTTCCTGGTGGGGCACAGTGGCGCATGCCTGTAATCCCAGCACTTTGGGAGGCTGAGGCGGGCAGATCACGAGGTCAGGAGATCGAGATCATCCTGGTGAACACGGTGAAAGCCCGTCTCTACTAAAAATACAAAAAATTAGCTGGGCGTGGTGGTGGGCGCCTGCCAGGAGGTAGAGCTTACAGTGAGCAGAGATCGTGCCATGCACTCCAGCCTGGGTGAGACTCCATCTCAAAAAACAAAAGACTTAGCCACCTCTTAAAAATCTCACCTCTCGGAGCTTGCAGTGAGCTGAGATCCGGCCACTGCACTCCAGCCTGGGTGACAGAGCAAGACTCCGTCTAAAAAAAAAAAAAAAAAAGTCTCACCTCTTAATACCATCATGTTGGCCATTAAGTTTCAGTATCTGAATTCTGGAGGGCACACATTCAAACCGTAGCAAGTGGAAAAAGACATTCCAATTTATCTCAGGTTCACATCAAACATTCTTCACAATAAAATATGTTAGTTCACAAGTCTCAGTTTTAAAAGATTGAATTACAAAGTGTCTTCTCTGACTACAATGGAATAAAACTAAAAATAACACATCCTTAAACAACCAATGGCTCAAAGATTAAGAGAAATTAGAAAATACTCTGAAATGAATAAAAACAAAAATGCAGCACCCTAAAACGTATGGAATGCAGCAAAAGCAGTGCTCAAAAGAAATTTTATAGCTGCACATGCCTACATTAAAAAATACCTAGAATTGGCCGGGCACTGTGGCTCATGCCTGTAATCCCAGCACTTTGGGAGGCCGAGGCAGGCAGATCATGAGGTCAGGAGATCGAGACCATCCCGGCTAACACGGTGAAACTCCGTCTCCACTAAAAATACAAAAACTTAGCTGGGTGTGGTGGCAGGCGCCTGTAGTCCCAGCTACTTGGGAGGCAGAGGCCGGAGAATGGCGTGAACCCGGGAGGCGGAGCTTGCAGTGAGCCCAGATCGTGCCACTGCGTTCCAGCCTGGGTGACAGAGCGAGACTCTGTCTCAAAAAAAAAAAAAAAAAAATACCTAGAATCAGCAACCTAACCTTCCATCTTCAGGAACTAGAAAAGAGGAAATCAAACCCAAAGCTAGCAGAAGGAAGGAAATAATAAAGACTAGAGCAGAGATAAATGAAATACGCAGTAGAAAATAGAATCCACAAGACCAAAAGTGGATTGTTTGAAACAGTAACGTTCACAAACCCTTAAAAAGACTGAGCAAGACAAAAAGATTCAGATTACTAAAATGAGGAATAAAGTGGGGACATTACTGCCAATCTTACAGAAATAAAACGGATTGTAAGGAAATACTATTAATTATATGCTAACAAATTAGATAACCTAGATAAAATGGACAAATTCCTAGAAAGCACACAAACTACCAAAACTGACTCAAGAAAAAACTAAAGCTATTAATCATACTAGTTAAAAAAAAAAAAAAAAAAAAAAAAAAAAAAAAAAAAAAAGCAAAAAAAAAAAACTTCCAAGAAAGGAAAGATCAGACCATGTGGCTTTACTGGTGACGTAAAATAAGAGTGCCAGTCCTTCTCAAACACTTGAAGTAGGGGAAGAGGGAATACTTCTTAACTCATTATATCATGCCAGTGTTACCCTAGTACCAAATCCAGAGAGACATCACAAGAAAATGAAACTCCAGTCCAATATTTCTAATGAATATAGATGGAAAGATCCTTAACAAAAGTGAATCCTGAATCACATTACAAGGATATCCACAAAAAAAAACTGTTAGAGCTAATACCTCAATGTCACACGATGCCCAGGATCAACATACAAAAAATAGTTATATTTCTGTATCCTTGCAATGAACATTTCAAAGTGAAATTTAGAAAACTCATTTACAATAGCATCAAAAAGAATAAAATACTAATAATACTAATAATAAGATGTAAGACTTGTACACTGAAAACTACAAAACATAGCTGAAATAAATTTTTAAAAACCTAAATGAAGTAGGCATGTTATATTCATGTATTGGAAGACTTTGAAAATGGCAGTATTCCCCCAAATTGACCAACGGAATCAGTGAAATTCCTATCAAAATTCCAACTGCCGTTAATGTAGAAATGGGCAGGTTGATCCTAAAATTCATAAGAAATTACAAGGCTGCCAAAACTGTCTTGGAAAAGAACAAAGTTAGAAGACCCACATTTTGTGATTTCAAAATTTATCACAAAGGTACAGTAATCAAAAGAGTGGTACTGACATAAGGATAGATATATAGGCCAATAAAATAGAATTGAGAGCCCAGAAGTAAGCCTATACATCTGTGGTCAACTGATTTTTGACAAAGGTGTCAATATAGATCACTGGGGAGTGGAATAGTATTTTTAACAAATGCTGAGGATACTGGGTATCCACATGTAGTAGTACGGATTTGGACCCTTATCTTACACCACATGCAAACATTAAGTCGAAAGAAATAAAATACCTAAATATAAGAATGAAGCTGTATAACTATTGGAAGAAAATATTGGGGTAAGTCTACATGACCTGGGATTTGCCAGTGGATTCTTAGATATGATGCCAAGAACTCAAGTAGCAACATGAAAAATAGATACAATTGGGCTTGATGAAAATTTCAATCCAAAACTTAAATTTACACATCAACCGACACTATCAAGAAACAGAAAAGAGAACCCACTGAGAGAAAATATTTCCAAGCCATATACCTGGTAAAGGTCAAGTAACTCTTAGAAGTCATCAATTAAAAGACAACCCAAGTTAAAAATGGGCAAAGGACTTGAATAGACATTTCTCCAAGGGAGATATTCTAATGGCCAAGTACATGAAAAGATGCTTTGCCTCATAACCTTCCACCTTAAGGGAAATGCAAATCAAAACCACAAGATACCACTTTCTATACTCACTAGGGTGCTGTTATTAAAAGACAAGTGTTGCCAAGGATGTGGAGAAATTGGAAAGCTCATAAATTGCTGGCGGGAATATAAAATTGTGTGGTCACTGTAAAATAGTTTGACAGTTCATCAAAATTTTAAACAGAATTAACATATAACCCAGCAGTTCTCCTAAATACATACTCGAGGATAGAAAACAAATACTCAAACAAAAACTTCTACATGAATGTATACAGCAGCATTATAATAGCCAATAAGTAGAAACAACCCAAATGTTCATCAATAGATGAATGGACAAATTGTGGTATATTCATACAATGAAAAACTACTCAGCCATAAAAAGAAATTATGTACTAGTATATGTTGCAACATGGATCAACCTTGAAAACATGCTAACTGAAAGGAAAAGCCACATTTATATGATTCTATTTATGTGAAACACATAAAAGAGGTACAACCATAGAGATAGAAAACATTGGTGGATGCTACGGGTTAGGGAAATGTAGAAATGGGGAGTTGCTGCTTAATGGGTTTCTTTTTTGAGTGATGAAAATATTCAGATTTAGGTAGTGATGATACTTGCAAACATTGTGAATGTTTTGGAAGGCACTGAATTGTACAGTAAAATGGTTAAAATGGTGAGTTTTATGTCATGTGAATTTTACTTCAATAATTTTTAAAAAGTAGACCCTCCCTTAGTCCATTTTGTGCTGCTCTAACAGAATACCGGAAACTTTATAAAGCACAAATGTTGGCTGGGAACGGTGGCTCACGTCTGTAATCTCAGCACTTTGGGAGGCCGAGGTGGGCAGATCACGAGGTCAGGAGTTTGAGAC